TGGAGAGCGAAACGTTGCCACAGTAAAACATCACATTAGTTGCACTTGTGTCATTTTACTTTACATATTGTCGGTAATTCTACCAACATTATTATGAAAGGAGAGCAGATGATAGAGTGGGAGAGGCACTGTCAAGAAATTTTGATGAAAACAAGAAAAAATTTTGGAGTGAAATGAACAAGTTAAGAAAGCCTAGGGAACGAATGGATTTGTCAGTTAAAAACAGAGTAGAGGAGTTAGTAGATGGGAAGCTGGAGGTATTGGGTAGATGGCAGGAATATTTTGAGGAACTTCTAAATGTTGTTGAAGAAAGGGAGGCAGTAATTTCATGCACTGGCCAGGGAGGTATAACATCTTTTAGGAGTGAAGAAGAGCAGGATGTGAGTGTCGGGGAGGTGTGTGAGGCATTATGTAGAATGAAAGGGGGTAAAGCAGCTGGAACTGATAGGATCATGACAGAAATGTTAAAAGCAAGGGGGGATATAGTGTTGGAGTGGTTGGTATTTTTGTTTAATAAATATATGAAAGAGGGGAAGGTACCTAGGGATTGGCAGAGAGCATGTATAATTCCTTTATATAAAGGGAAGGGGGACAAAAGAGATTATAAAAATTATAAGGGAATAAGTTTACCGAGTATACCAGGAAAAGTGTACGTAGGGTTATTATTGAAAGAATTAGAGGTAAGACAGAGAGTAGGATTGCAGATGAACAAGGAGGCTTTAGAGTGGGTAGGGAATGTGTAGATTAAGTGTTTACATTGAAGCATATATGTAAAGAGTATTTAGATAAAGGTAGGGAAGTTTTCATTGCATTTATGGATTTAGAAATGGCATATGATAGAGTGGATAGGGATGCAATGTGGCAGATGTTGCAAGTATATGGAATAGGTAGTAAGTTACTAAATGTTGTAAAGAGTTTTTATGAGGATAGTGAGGCTCAGGTTTGGGTGTGTGTGGGAGAGAGGGAGATTACTTCCAGGTAAAAGTAGGTCTTAGACAGGGATGTGTAATGTCACCATGGTTGTTTAATATATTTATAGATGGGGTTGTAAAAGAAGTAAATGCTAGGGTGTTGGAGAGAGGGATGCTATTAAATTATGGGGAATCAAATACTTTTTGCTGACGATACTGTGATTATGGGAGGTTCTAAAGAAAAGTTGCAAAGGTTAGTTAACGAGTTTGGGAGGGTGTGTAGAGGTAGAAAGTTGAAAGTGAACATAGATTAGAGTAAGGTGATGAGGGTATCAAATGATTTAGTTAAAGAAAAATTAGATATCACATTGGAGAGAGGGAATATGAAAGAGGTGATTGTTTTCAGATATTTGGGAGTTGACTTGTCAGCAGATGGGTTTATGAAGGCTGAGGTTAACTATGGAATTGATGAAGGAAAAAAGGTGAGTGGTGCATTGAGATATCTGTGATGTTATCCATGGAGGCAAAGAAGGGAATGTAGGAAAGTATATGGTACTAACACTTTTGTATGGGTGGAGATGTCCTGTCTAACTTCAGTGTGTGGTGTAAATATTATGCAGAGAATTCAGAGTGTGGAAATTAGGAGGAGGTGTGGAGTTACTAAAAGTATTAGTCAGAGGGCTGAAGAGGGGTTGTTCAGGTGGTTTGGTCATTTAGAAAGAATGGATCAAAGTAGAATAACTTGGAGTGCATATAAATCTGTAGGGGAAGGAAGGTGGGGTAGGGGCCGTCCTCGAAAAGGTTGGAGGGAGGGGGTACAGGAGGTTTTGTGGGCGAGGCGCTTGGACTTTCAGCAAGCATGTGTGAGCGTGTTAGGTAGGAGTGAACGGAAAGATATTGTTTTTGGGACCTGACGAGGTGCTTGAGTGTGAGCAGGGTAATATTTAGTGAAGGGATTTGGGGAAACCAGTTAGCTGGACTTGAGTCCTGGAAATGGGAAGTGCAATGCCTGCACTTTAACCCGTAAACGGTCCAAGCAGATCTACGTTCACATGTGTAGTGCTACAAAAGTAGATCTATGTTTTTTTACATATTTTCAAATATAACAAAAAAAAAAGTAGATCAAAGTTTTTTTTACACATTTTCAAATGTAAAAAAAACAAAAAGAAGATCTACTTTCTTTACATACTTTCAAATGTTAAAAAAACTATATACAGTGTACCCCCGGTTAACGATATTTTTTCATTCCATAAGTATGTTCAGGTGCCAGTACTGACCGAATTTATTCCCATAAGGAATATTGTGAAGTAGATTAGTCCATTTCAGACCCCCAAACATACAAGTACAAACGCACTTACATAAATACACTTACATAATTGGTCGCATTCGGAGGTAATCGTTATGCGGGGGTCCACTGTATATACGTTTGCACCGTTTACGGGTTAAAGGAGGGGTTTGGGATATTGACAGTTTGGAGGGACTTCTGAATTATCGTATCTGAGCGCCTCTGCAAAGACAGTGATTATGTATGAGTGAGGTGAAAGTGTTGAATGATGAAAGTATTTTCTTTTTGGGGATTTTCTTTCTTTTTGGGTCACTCTGCCTCAGTGGGAGACTGCCGACTTGTTGAAAAAAAAAAATAGATAATAATACATTATAATTATTATAATCATAAGTGCTAAACCCACAAGGATCATATAGCAGATAATAATATAAAGCAGAATGCATTAGGGTTTAGCAGTTTCTTATCTGCAGGTTAAACTTTTAACATTTAGAAATATCCAAATACTAGGTGGAGACATTGTGGGTTGTCAGCGGTGTCCTGTTAACAAGCAGTAGAAGAGAAAGTAAAATATTAACATACAAGGGGCAAAAGAAAAAAAGCAGCAGTGAAAGAAAAAGATACAAATAAGAAAATGAGAGAATGAGTAAAAAAAAATACAGAAAAGATAATACTGAATGTGCACATATTCAGCAAAGACTCCTTTACCTTCATGCTTCTCTGACAGACCATTAACTAGTCTCCGTGAGACTAGTTAATAGTCTGTCAGACCAAAACGTCATCATGTGTTTCAGTCTCCTGTGTGCGGGTTATTCGTGTATTGTTCCAGTCATAGTATTGTGCTGTTTGTATTCCTAGGATTTATTTGTTTTATTTTCAGATTGTTTGTGAATTGTTATATTTTTATATTATAGTTTTGGCTTGCAATGGAGCATATAACTGTACAGCAAACCTTTGATTTTAACAGATTAATAGAGGAATACTGGTGACTGGTAATGGTAATTGTAGGGGATAGAGATGAGTTTTTTTTTTTTTTGCACACAAACCAATTTTACAGGCTAAAAGCTGTTATCCTACCTCAGCTCATTTCAGAGCCCAGCCCTATCTAAGGTATACTACCATCGTCAGGATGTGACCCACACCAGTCGGCTAACACCCATGTACCTATTTACTGCTGGATGAACACTTGCAGCATGTAAGGAAATATACCCAATGTTACTGTGTGCACTGTACATGCATTTTTTAGGCTAGCTATATTGCTCACTTAATATATGATTGTGTAAACATGTTAGCAAGTGAAAAAAGGCTATGATTCACTTTACAGTGGTATCCTGAAACTAACCTGCTGTATGAGTGGGGCCCTCCCATATTCTTTATATTGTCAAAAGATCTGAATAACCTTTTTATCAAAGTGCTTTGTAAATTTATCAACTTCCTACCTTCTGTTACCAACTGGTTTTCATAACTCCTTACATTTCACTCCCTAGCAAAATCTTGTTTAGTAAAGGCTTGCCTCGTTAAGTATCTTTGTTTTACCCTAGTCTTCAGCAGGTACATGACTTGCAGCTCGGTGGTAGAGCATCTGCTTCACAACCATTAAGGATGCAATTTCAATTATGTAGTGAGAGAAGACTTATGTAAACCAACTGCCTCAGGTGTTAGTTGACTGTTGTGGGTTTCATCTTAGTGAAGAGATCTGAAGGACCTTCACAAAAAGAAAGCCACACTGCTTGGTTTTCTTAGGTTATTGTGGATTAATAATCTTGAAGATAGATGAAGCTGGCAAAGGAGTGAGTGGAAGAAGACCGAAACAGAAAAGAACAGTGAAAATGGATAGATGAAGAAATAGGTAACAAGTCTTGTACTGTGCCATAGTGTACTCTTAAGAGAGCAAATGTACTACCTCATCCACTAGGAAAATGATAGGATGGATAATGAGAACCTTCAAAACTAGGGATGCCAAGCCCATGATGATTCTCTTCATATCACTTGTGCTCTCTAGGTTGGAATACTGCTGTACACTAACGGCCCCCTTCAAGGCTGGCGACATTGCAGACCTGGAGAGTGTACAAAGAACTTTCGTGGCACACATAAGTGCGATAAGGCACCTAAACTACTGGGAACGGTTGAAGGTCCTTGATCTGTATTCCCTCGAATGCAGGTGAGAGAGATGCATGATAATATACACTTGGAAGGTCCTGGAGGGATTGGCACCAAACCTGCACACGAAAATCACTCCATATGAAAGCAAAAGACTTGGCAGGAGATGCAACATTCCCCCAATGAAAAGCAGGGGTGCCACGAGTACACTGAGAGGCAACACAATAAGTGTCTGGGGCCCAAGACTGTTCAGTTGCCTCCCAGCATACATAAGGGGGATTACCAGTAGACCCCTGGCTGTCTTCAAGAAGGCACTGGACAGGCACCTAAAGTCAGTACCTGACCAACTGGGCTGTGGTTCGTATGTCAGCTTGAGTGTGGCCAGCAGTAACAGCCTGGTTAATCAGACCCTGATCCACCATGAGGCCTGGTCTCAGACCGGGCCACGGGGGCGTTGACCCCCAAAACCCTCTCCAGGCAATCTCCAGGTAAATATAGAGGAAGCAAGAATTAAAAAGATAGTACTGTATTAACTTGTTAAATGTATGAAGTTGTATGATGAGAGGAATATGCATATTTTACAGCTAGACAGGCAGAAAAGTATACAAGTAAATATTTTTATGAATTACTATTCTGGTATTTTTCATAAAAATGTACGATGAATATTTTTATGAATTATTATTCTAGTATTTTTTTGTTCTTTTAAGGTTTGTGAGTACCCTAAAGTTTACTTACTCGATACACCTGGTGTGATGTTTCCAAAGATTAAAGATATGGTGACTGGCCTGAAGCTAGCACTGGCTGCCACCATTAAGGACCATCTGGTTGGCGAAGACATCATTGCAGACTACCTTCTGTACTGGTAAAATAATAAATGATAATTGTATTGGTTGTAGAAAATCCTACTTATACGAAATATCAACTATTAAGCTTCACATGTCTTTTTTTTTGCACTCTCGATTTTTTTACTGTTTAAGCATGCATATTTTTAGTTTATATTTTTGTTCTTCATCCCTTTATCTCTTTTAACTGTGATATACCTAGAAAATAAATTGCCTGTGTGTGAAGTTGGCAATAAACGATTACTCATCGGCAAATATTGCTAGTGCAGATGCGCCAGCAATATTTGCTTTTTACAATTTATTGATGCCAAATTTTGATTGTTTTACAGTTTTTATTATTTTAAATGTTTAACACTATTTAAACTATTTCTTTTCATATTAGATGTGTTTCAAGGAGTTTTAGTACTTCAAACATGGGGAAAATTCTTAGCCCGACATTGTTCCACTTAAAATACACAGCATAAATTAGTCCAAATAATTGTTGTTTACCTAGGTAGTAGGTTGGTCAACAGCAACCGCCCAGGGAGGTACTACCGTCCTACCAAGTGAGTGTAAAACGAAAGCCTGTAATTGTTTTACATGATGGTAGGATTGCTGGTGTCTTTTGTTTTGCTACTTCTACTTACACTTAGGTCACACTACACTTACATGTACAAGCATATATATACACACCCCTCTGGGTTTTCTTCTATTTTCTTTCTAGTTCTTGTTCTTGTTTATTTCCTCTTATCTCCATGGGGAAGTGGAACAGAATTCTTCCTCTGTAAGCCATGCATGTTGTAAGAGGCGACTAAAATGCCAGGAGCAAGGGGCTAGTAACCCCTTCTCCTGTATAACTTACTAAATTTAAAAAGACAAACTTTCATTTTTCTTTTTGGGCCACCCTGCCTTGGTGGGATATGACTGGTTTGTTGAAAGAAAGAATTGTTGTTTATTCAGTTTTTTACTGATTTAGTCTGCTATCACTGTGATAAAGGAATAATTATGATATTACAATTGTTTCATTGTAAAATACTCATCAAAACATATAAATAAATCATATTGTTTGATTATATTGGATTATCCTGGGTTAATTATTATGGTACATATTTCCAAGCAGGGTAATATTTTGTGAAAATATTCAGGGAAACTGGTTAGCCAAACTTGAGTCCTGGAGATGGGAAGCACAATGCCTGCACTTAAAAAGAGGGATTTGGAATATTTGCTGTTTGGAGTGACATCCAAACTGTCGTATCTGAGCACCTCTTCACAGACAGTGATTGTGTGTGAATGATGGTGAAACTGTTGAATGATGGTGAAAGTTTCTTTTCTTGGGTCACTCTGCCTCAACAGGAGACTGCCGATGTGTTAAAAAAAAAATCCAAGGATAGTGAGGCTTAGGTTAAAGTATGTAGGAGAGAGGGAGATTATTTCCCAGTAAAAGTAGGCCCTAGACAGGGCTGCATGATGTCACCATGGTTGTTCAATATATTTATAGATGAGGTTGTAAGAGTAGTGAATGCTTGGGTATTGGCAAGAAGTGTGGGATTAAGAGAGAAAGAATGTAACACAAAGTGGGAGTTGTCACAGTTGCTTTTTGCTGATGACACTGTGCTCTTAGGGGATTCTGAAGAGAAGTTGCAGAGGTTGGTGGACAAGTTTGGAAGGGTATGTAAAAGAAGGAAATTAAAAGTAAACATAGGGAAAAACAAGGTAATGAGGATAACAAAAAATTTAAGTAATGAAAGATTGGATAACAGTTTGGAGGGAGGGAGTATGGAGGAAGTGAATGTATTCAGATATTTGGGAGTGGATTTGTCAGCAGGTGGGTCTATGAAAGACTAGGTGAATCATAGAATTAATGAGGGAAAAAAGGTGAATGGAGCACTGAGGAGTCTGTGGTGACAAAGAATATTATCCATGGAAGCAAAGAGGGGAATGTAAGAAAGTATAGTGGTACTAATGCTCTTCTATGGGTGTGAAGCATGGGTGGTGAATGTTACAACAAGGAGAAGGCTGGAGGCAGTGGAGATGTTGTGTCTGAGGGTATTACAACCCAGGAATTCAAAGGCCTGTTATCCTGGGTGTAAAGGGAGCAAAATAAACACAGCAAAAAAACGTTTGAATTATATTATCCTTCACCAAGTAAGAACAAATCTTCGTTTTTTCCCCCTTTTTTTTAAAAAAATTTTTTCCCTTTTGGGCCCCGGGTTTGGGGGGGGGAAAAAATTTTTTTTGGAAAAATTTTTTTTTTTTTTTAAAAAGGTTTTTTTTTAAAAAAAAATTTTTTTAAAATTTTTTGGGAAAAATTTCCCAAAAATTTAAAAAAATTTTTAAAATTTTTTAAAAAAATTTTTTTTTTTTTTCCCCTTTTTTTTAAAAATTTTTTTTTTTTTTTTTAAAAAACCCCCTTTTTTTTTTAAAAGGGTTTTTTTTTAACCCCCCAAAAAAAAAATTTTTTCCCCCAAAAAGGGTTTAAAAGGGGAAAATTTTTTGGGGGGAAATTTTTTTTTTTTTCCCCCAAAACCGGGAATTTTTTTTTTTAAAAAAAAAAATTTTAACCCTTTTTTAAAAGGGGGGGAAAAATTTTTTAAAAAAAAGGGTTTTAAAAAATTTTGGGTTGGTTTTTAAAATTTTTAAAAAGGGGGGGAAAAAAATTTTTAAAAATTTTAAAAAGGAAAAAAAATTGGGGGGGGGGGGGGGGGTTTTTTTTTGGGGAAAAATTTTTTTTTAAAAAAAACCCCCGGGGGGGGGTTTTAAAAGGGGAAAAAAAAAAAAATTTAAAAACCGGGGGTTTTCAAAAAAAAAGGGAAAAGGAAAAAAAGGGGGGGGGAAGGGGGGTTTTTTTCCCCAAAAAATTTTTTTTGGGGGGAATTTTTTAAAAAAAATTTTAAATTTTTAAAAAAAAATTTTTTAAAAAAGGGGGGGAAAAAAAAAAAATTTTTAAAAGGGGGGGGTTTTTTCCAAAGGGGGTTTTGGCGGGGGTTTTCTAAAAAAAAAAAATTTTTGGGGGTTTTTTTTTTTTTCCCCAAAAACCCCAATTTTTTTGGGGGGGTTTAAAAAAAAAAACCCCTTTGTTTTTTCCCTTAAAAATTTTAAAGGGGGCCCCCCTTTTTTTCCCCCCCCCCCCCCCGGGGGGCCCCCCAAAAAAAAAATTTCCCTTTTAAAATTTTTTAAAAAATTTTCCCCCCCCAAAAACCCCTTTTTAAAATTTTTTTTGGGGGTTTTTTTCCACCCCAAAAAAAAAAAAAAAAAAAAAAATTTTTTAAAAAAAAAAAGGGGGAAAACCCGGGGGAAAATTTTTTAAAATTTTCCCCCCAAAAAAAGGGGGGGGGGGTTTTTCCCTTTTTCCCGGAAATTTTTTTAAAAAAAAAAAATTTAAAACCTTTTTTTTTTAAAAATTTTTTCCCCTTTGGTTTTTCCCGGGGGGGGTTTTTCCCCCGGGGCCTTTTTCCCAAAAAACCCTTCCCAAAAAAAAAAATTTTAAATTTTTTCCCAAAAATTTTTTTTTTTCCCCCGGGGGAAAAAAAGGGGGCCCAAAAAAGGGGGGGAAAAAAAATTTTAAAAAAAAGGGGGGGGGTTTTTCCCCAAACCCCCTTTTTTTAAAAATTTTTTTTTTGGGGGGGGGTTTTTTTGGGGGGGGGGGGCCCCCCCCTTTTTTTTTTGGGGGGGGAAAGGGGGGGGTTTTAAACCCAAAAAAAAAAAAAAACCCCTTTGCCCCCCCCCCCCGGGGGGGCCAAACCCCCCCCCTTGGCCCCCCCCCCCCCCAAAAAAATTTTTTGGGGGCCCCCCCCAACCCCAACTTTTTAAAAGGGGCCCTTTTTTAAAAAAAAAAAAAAAAAGAGCAAGACAGCAAAAGTAGGGGTAATGTAGGTCCAAAAATACGGGGGATGGTAGCCCCCACCCCCTCACTAAAAAAAAAAAAATCACACGGGGAAAAAAAAAAAAACTAAAAAACCCGGGTTTCCACAGGTCCCTAACAAAATCCCAACCTAATTTATTGTGTGAATATAATGCAGAGAATTTCCCTAGCTTGGAAATTTCAGAAGGTTTTGGGGTTTTTTAAAAATATTATCCAGAGGGGTTTAAAGGGGAAGGGGGTTGAGGTTTGGGTTTGGGTATTTAGGAGGAGGAACAAAAATAGAATGATTGGGGGGGGCATTAAAAACGTAGTGGAAGGAAGGCGGGGGAGGGGGCCCTCCTAGGAAAAAGGGTTTGGGGGGAGGGGGGTAAGGGAGGGTTTTTTTATGTGAGGAGCCCTTTGGGCCCTTTCCGCAAGCCCTGTGTGAGGGATGTTAGATAGGAAGTGGGGGCAGGGAAAAAAGTTTTTTGTGCTTTATGTGCTGTTTTGGGGCGTGAAAAAAAAAAACATCAGAAGGGATTCTGGGAAACCGATTAGCTGGACTTGAGTCCTGGAGGTGGGAAGTACAGTGCCTGAGCTCTGAAGGAGAGGTGTTGATATGTTGCAGTTTTTTAACTGTAGTGTAGGTGCACCTTTGACAACATAGTGATGGTGTCTTGCCAAATGATGATGAAAATGTTTCATCTCTTTCAGGTCACCCTGCCTCGGTGGGAAATGATCGATTTAATAAAAAATACATATTTAGGTAATGTAATTTCAATCTGTCCATAACACCTGTGTGATTTCAAGACCACTGTAAAACATATTTACAGAGAAATCTTAATATATTACAATTGTTTCAAGGTTTAATTCTCATGGAAACAATAAGTCACATTATTTGACTACATATACAGTGGTCCCTCAATAATCGTAGGGCTCGAGAGTCGTAGATTTCGGAAATCATAGCGATATTTTCGTAAAAAAATGGGCTCTCTAATCGTAGACTGACTCGCGAATAGTAGTTCGTCCGGGATGCGTACGCACGCTGTGAGCCGGGGCAGCCTCCCTTCCCAGCCAGTGTGGCATTGTTTACCAGTGAGCGACGGTCCCCTCACTTGCTCCTAGAAAAATTTCATAATATTCCATTCATTTTAGTGCTTGCAAGTACTAAATAAGCTACCATGGCTCCAAAGAAAGCTCTTAGTGTCAAGCCTTTGGTAAAGAAGGTGAGAAATACGATTGAATTTAAGAAAAACATCATTGAACAATATGAAAGTGGTTAAAGAGACGCCAGAAACAGAGCTCTCTGGACAGTTATTTTACGAGACAGGACTCCAGTGACTCTCAAGCTGGTCCTAGTGGCATTAAGAAACAGAGAAGTAACCCCAGAAAAGCAATTGGTACCTGAGGTGTTGATGGAAGGGGATTCCCCTTCCAAACTGTAAATAATCCAATCTCTCTCCTCCTCCAGTCTTCCATACACTAAGAAGAATTGCCAATAAAGGTAAGTGTTATGCTGTTAATGTTTCATTCATCATGTCCCATTGTATTGTTTATGTACTACATCTATATTTCATGTAAAAAATTTTTTTGTTTTAATACTTCTGGGTGTCAGGAACGGATTAATTGTATTTACATTATTTCTTATGGGGAAAATTGATTCGAAAATCGTAGATTTCGATAATAGTAGCACCTCCAGGAACGGATTAAATACGATAAACGAGGGACCACTGTATTGGGTTATCCTAAGTTAAATCTACATAGTATGCTTTTTGCTTGAATTCCACTGCCAGTATCATGAAACTGTAATGAATTTGGAATGAATAAGGCATCTTCTTGTCAGCTGCACACCTTGTTTACTGGTAGGGAAGCTGGTGATGGAACAGGATGCTCTGGCTTCATTGTTTACTTATGCAAACCATACCCCGGCCGGGATTGAACCCGCGGTCAGAGAGTCTCAGTTAGGCAGTGTTACACCATGATGCATTACATGGACCTGTCTGGTCTTAGATTTTTTTTCGAAGTCATAAAGAGGTTGAAGGAGATCCAAACAGTTGTGCTGAGGCCTGTTATTGTCCTCTTATATTACCATACCTAAGTTTCTCCCTGTGAATGGTAATATATGTCTTTAATCTTCAGTATTCTGTATTTACATTTTATTACACAAAATTTAAATCTGAATATCTTTACAGGTTGAATTCTTGTGGAAATCATTCCTATGTGGAACACTTGGGATTATCTGAACCAACAGATAACATTCAACATCTTCTTCTAACAGCAGCAGCCAGGTGAGAAGTTTGATAATTTATATTATCTTTAATATATTGCATATATTATACCATCCCTCTGTAAATTATTGTACTCAGTACAGTACTGTATCTTTCTTTTTTCGACTCCAGAAACAACTGGCTGAGGAAGGCTCGTGACCATACAGGTGTTCAGACCATTCCAGATGTTATTCAATGTGCAGCAAAATTCATCAGAGCTTTCCGAGAAGGGAAGTATGGACCAGTCATGCTTGATGATCTCTCTGATATAGAAGAGCAACAAGTAATTAAATAATTATTTGCTGCAAAGCTTTTACACATTTTTTTTCAAATAGTACGTACTAGGTTCAATATTAATAAATAAACAGCTTTATTCTTTCTAAAAGTAACAATAGATATTAGATACATTTCAGTGCTGTGCTGTAATGAATATATAGTTTGTTTCATGCCATCTGGGATCCCATGTCTCAGTCAGAATATGCATTGCCTCTTGTCATATATTTAGCCCTTTTTCTGTCTTAACTAGTTGTTTACCTGCCATTAACTGTATTTGCCATTGGCTAACCACCACAAGACATAATACCGTTAGGAAATTCTGGGATCTGTCTATCCAGGTAATATGGTTTCCTGTGGATTCCTAGACCTAATAAGTTTTCGTGCCTCATGCAGTGCTGTTCACATGTGTACCAGTGTCACTGGATAGCAGTAATCCAGTAAGTTTTTTACCTTGGTTTTACTACATTCATAGTGTAATGCCTCATAGCCCTATAGGTTTGACATCTTTGGCAACATTGTCTGTGCTTGATAATAGCCATTGAGTGGAACCTTTGATAGTTACTGTATTCCATTATTAGTTGTTTCACAGATTGAGGTTATGGCCAGGCTTCTTGCACTGTAAACTTCAATATTATTTTCCCACATGTTGTATTTGTGTGAATGTTCTGGGTCTACAGTGAGAATATTTACTGTGCAAAAGTTATCCATAAGAATTCTTGCAGCCCATGATAAGTATAGAGGCAGTGTATAGTCCATCATGACACTTGGACCTTGTACTTGATAACCCTTTACTTGTCTACGTAGATGGTTAGCATCTATACACTGGATGATTTTGAACTGTAGCGTTTAGTGTTTTGCTGGATCTTGATGGTACACGGACATCTTAGGATGATCTACATTACTTCATTTTGCAATTTTTCAAGTCCTGCAAGCTCTCTGACACGAGCTAATAAGAATACAGCATAGTCAGTGATATAAACAGAATTCTGTACATCATTTTTGCAATGTTCACAGCAGTATACCCAGGGTAAAACTGCCACACCTCAGTGCTCTCAGCCTCTCTTTATACTGGCAACTTAGTCTGCTTACAATAAGTCAGATCTACAGTAAGACCTCAAATCTCAAATATCTAACCGGTCACAAATTGCAGCCATGACCTGTCATACAACTGAAACCTGTAGACTGTGCCTCTCTACAGGGAAAGGTACCTTTTAAATCGTATCTTGTTTTTTCAAATAGTATCTTGATTTTTTAAATAGTATCTTGTTTTTTAAATATTATCTTGTTTTTTCAGTCCTGATGCAAATCTAGTACATGGTTAGGGATGTTTTTGGTGCTACTCATATACTGATTAGACTGTCTAGGCATAACTTTTAGTAAGACATTGATTAGAATATTAAATAACGTGGGACAAAGGACACCTCCCTGTGGGTTTCCTAAGTCTATGACTAGTTGCACTTCTGCACCCATGAAATGGCATAGAAGACTTTCTGTTGAGAGGTAGCCTTCAATCCAGTGGAGAAGCCATCCACTTACATCCATTCTGGCTAGTTCACTAATAATAATACATATGTTGGTTGGACCTTAAGAGATCAAGGAAGGTGGTATTGAGGGTTTTTGCATGATTAAAACTCAGCTAATTTGTACTCGTCAGCCATATTGGAAATCCAATCACTGTTCACACTAGTATGACCTGATATATATATTGCTTATTATTACATGTTAGATAAGATTGTGCAACTTACAAGTAGGCCAAATTTGCTGTATTACATCCTGTGCAATAGATTTTGCTAGAGAAGTTTATCTTTTCAAGATGAATGCTTAGATCTCCATTGCCTAGTAATAAAACAAATAAGATTTATTTCTGGGTGGATAAGTATTTAAAACTTTCCAAATGTGCTTGCTAAGCTGGTCGAGGGGTTGTGCATTTACATTAAGCTCGTTTTTACAGCAGGTCATTCATTGCATTTATTAATTTTTCCTATTTGATTTGGTGGCTGTTATAAGAAGGTTGATTATGTTTTATCTTGTAGCGTACTCTATGTAGTTAGCTGCTCTGTGAACCCTAGCATGTGGTGGAGTCTCCTCTGATGTTTACTAGAAGAATACTATTGTATAATATTTTGCTTTCGACTGTTCAATTTCACATCTACATTTAGGTTTATTTCCTTTTGCTTCCCTAAATACTAAACCATAGTGCCTTAGATGCTGACACAGGTACTCCATTAGTTGTGATGCTAATATTTAAGGAGGGTCCTTCTGAAGATTGAAGGTGATCGACATGCACAGTATGGACTTTCCAGACCAGTTCTATCATGAATTCCTGACTGCTCGTAGAGTATAATTAACCATCAACATTTAATAGAGCTTGGGAAAGTGGGGAGATTGAACCAGGGTTTTCCTGTCAAGTATGAAGTTCTTGCACTCTATACTCTATCTCATGATGCATGATTTGGTGGTATAATGATGGCTTTTAGCAGTTGGGTTCTTGGCCTTCTCTCTAAATTTGGTAACTACACAGGTTGCCCTTATATTGTACATTCAAACTTTTGGGTTAGTGCTTCCATATACACTTGTGTGCTTCCTTCTGCCTTTGGGAATGGTTTATTTTGCTTCTAGTCATACTCACATCATCTCCAGGGCTTGGTTCTTTGAGGATAATTCTGATGGGGATATGGGTTCCCAGGGGGTGTGGTGCACTTACCCCAGTGGGTCTCAGCTCCCTTTTCCTTCTTCCTCTTGTACATTAGATTTTGCGACAAGTTAATGAGCAGTTCAAGCCCATTGAGAACAGTTCTCTCTGGGTTAACAGGACCCAGGTTAGCCTAGTGATATTATATCCTATTATGGTTAACCAATGGCAGCTAGTTATCTGCATAATCACTTTGTAAGTGTCAGAAGCAGATCTTGTAACTTTGTTAACTGTATTGTGACTGAGAACCAATTTGTATTCTGATGGAGTCATAGGACCTACTGCTGCAGAAAGAAGCCTTTTTTGTGTTAAAGGTAAGTACAATACAATAGATCAGCTGTTGTGTTTGAGCAAGACTTTCCATGTGGTGGTTTCACAAAAGAAAAGAGGATAATTGTGGAAACTATTTTATTTTCAATTAATGAAATATTCTGGCAAGCATCAGCTTGTGCACATATAAAATAATACTTGCTATAATCAAAGTGGAGTACAGTAGTCCCCCCGTATCCACAGGGAATATGTTCCAAGACCTACCACAGATACCCTTCACCACAGATAGTACTGAAACCTATATATGTCATTTTTCATTTACATACCTATCTATGATAAAGCTTAATTGATAAATTACGCACAACAAGTGGAGAATTACCACTTTTTCACTGATGGGAAGCACTTCATTGCTTCTCTTAAGCTTTGAAGAACTGCCAACATCACTACCTTTGTGCCGTTATCAAGCAAAATTAAGGGTTATTTTCGGGCCACAGATAACTGAAACTGCAGAAACCAAATTCTTGGATACGAGGGTTCTGCTGTAATCCTAATACAGTATTCTGTATTATAAATGCTAACATTAGTACTAGTCATTATCAAATGTTCTTTCATATTAACATTTTGTATGGTTTCAAGAACTTGAAAATGGTAGTGTATTTCTCTAGGTCATCTTGATTTTTTTTTATTGATCTATTCTGACTTATAAGAAGTGCCATACATTGCATTAGTGAAATTAACCTTCAGATTTTTTCATGTAATTTTTGGTCCAGTGCTGCCTCATCTTGTACCCAATACCTCATTATGAGAAAGCTGTTAAGAAGTCTCAGACCTTCTCAAGGCAAATATTCTGAACGAGCTTAAGCGTAGTCCCATATCATTACTTGGAATCCTTCACCTTGAATCTTAGACTAGCCAAGTTTCTTATCCTAGCAGCTCTCAAGTTACTTTATTCTTTGAGAATCTATATGGTATTGATATTTTAATACTACAGTAGTCAGCAGGAACAATGCCCTATTTATTAATTTTTATTGTGTGTGGTTTAAGGCACTGTAGTTCATTATCTGACTTAGGGAAATATTATAAACAATTTGTAGTTTAATTTTATGACAATATTTTTTAATTCAGCCTATCCCAAAATTTTTGGTTTGCTTATTTTATTCCAGCCAATCTCAGATTATTTTTCAAGACAAATTTCTGCACCCTACAATATTTAATTTAATGCAGGCAACAAAAAGTTATGAATTTCATGATGGCTAAGTTATAATATTTTCTATGAAAGCATATAAAGTAGATAGTTTAAATGTTTTCTGTTAATATTATTCATCCTAATACCTAAGATTTTTTGAGATTAACTTGGCTGGTAGAATGTCATCATTTAAAATTGCTTTTGAAAATTAAACATAGTGTCTTTTTCTCATCTGAACTGCATAGAAATTACCTTGTACATTGTAAGTCACTTTTCATAAATAGAACACAGTATCACTGACACTGGAATCAACATTTTTAAACTGAATTGCAGTTCATACTGATATTTAACTAGGATAATAAATTTGCTTTCTTTTAAACAGACACAAACATTCGGTTTATGTAGCAAGTAAACTTGAAAGTGTAGACTAGTAATAAACTTAGGAATGATACATATAGATGTCATATTTCAGCATGACAACTTAAACTCGTGGCTTTCTTAGTTTAACGTCAACACAAAGCAGTCAGTAATCTGTATCTAGAATTTAAATAATGCAGTAAAATCCCCAAAGTCTATATAAGAAGTGGGATAACATCCTTATTATCAAGTTTCAAAGGCATTACAAAGTTGAAAAAAATACATAAACCTCCTTTGTCAGTACATGTGGAAATTTTTTCATTACAGCTGCCATTTCCCACCCAGGGAGGGTAATATAATGTGAAAAGTGGATGCTTTTAATAGTATCTAATCTGTATATCAGGTGGAAATGTCAGTAGCCATTAAATACTGGTATTAACCTCAAAAATGCACAAAAGTACAAATATCAGTAACATTGTGAAACTAACCTACTGTTATGTCTAATTTTTTCCTTTTATTTTATTCATGAACACTGAACCCCTATGGGTCATAGAGAGCCTTTGGAATGTGAGGCAATCAGATTCAATCTTAGGAATGGGAGGATGGCTCCAATTCCTCAAACCAAGATTTTTTTTTTTTTATGCCATCAAGGCACCTTTCTTTTTTTAGTGCTCTTACAATATCTAGTTAAAAAATCCTGTTTAATTTACAGTGCCTCAATAGTTGAAATTTACTATAGATTAATGCAGTTTTGGTACCCAGGTTGAGCACTCCTATAAATATTGCAAATTCAGTAGCATAAATGTAGGGGTATGTGGAACCAAAGATGGTGTGTTTGTACTTGTGCAGTAAAACCTCTCGTTAATGGACCTCTCGTGAACCTTGGCAGTTGTGAACAAACATTGGCCCAACAACTGTTGGAATAATCGAGCAAAATGGAAAATAATCAATAATTCTGGATTTTGTCTGAAGTGATTGTGTCTAGCTGTCTTCTGAAGCATCAGACCAAATCCAGTAACTCCTCCTTTGTGCAGTATGGGCCAGAGTGGCCATATCTGAGACCTGTCTTTTTTCACTGTCCCTCAAGTCGTAGGCTGCTGGTGCCAGGTTATTGTTTGTGCTCACTTATGCTGTGTGACTTGATTAACATATTAAGTAAAGTGAAATAACAATGGCACCTAAAGTAAGTGGTGGTGTCAAAAGGAAACTTGATTTTTCAGTGTTAAGCAGAAACTTGTACTAATAAAGAAGGTTGAGTCTGGAATCTCAGTGGCACATCTCAGCCATCTACATTATTTTCACTAGTAGAGTTTTACACCTCTGACTCAGAATAAAGTCATAGCAGTTTACAACACATCTCTCCACCACAAAAGTTAAGTAATATTACAGTAAATCCCACACTACTATAAAATTACAGTACAATATGTACTGTAGTACTACAGGTTGCAATGCCCGTATTCTTAGTGTCTGGTTGTTTTGTGCTTTGGTGGACCAAGTTCACTAGTTCAGAAGACAGCCGGATGATCCTGATAATTTAACTTCACAATTTGGAAGTTTCAGACAATGAGCAATATCATACACCCCATCCTCTGTTAGCCTGTAACGAGAAGGTTCACTGTAATTTTATAACATAATCATTTAGGCTGAGCTGTAAGGAAAAGGAGGCAGAAATTAATAAGTAATGTATGAAGACTTGCCTCTGACCATCATGAAGAAATGTTTTTTTTTATCAAACATTATCTTAATATAAACGTACCCCATTAGGGGACAGTTTTATTAAAAATTCTACTTATGGCAATTTTTCTAGCTCAAATGGGATGAAGGCTTCATTGATGCAGAGTAAGTTTGTCTTTAGCTTTTCTAAATACTGTACTGTACTCTGTAAAGTACATTTCATATTTGACCAGTTGTACGAACAATTATTTCATAGTTAATTTACTGAACTTATTCCATACCCAACTAAACAGAGTAGAACAAATGCACTGAACATTTTGAAGTTTCCTTTACTTCTTAAAATTTGTGTAAAGTAAGGTGCATAGTTATCACTCTGCAAGTATATTCATGCTTCCATTGGAGAAAAAAAAAAGACAGTAACAGAGAGGAACTTTGAGAGGTTTAATTTGTAGAACAGGTTTCTTCAGTCTGAAGCAGACTGTTCCATGGGCAAAACATATCAGTAAAGTTCCTCTTTACATTTGTGCCTCTTTCTCCACTTGTCAGCTTTGTGCAGTCTCTCCATACTTAAATTTTTCAAGGTCATTATGAAAATTTAATCAAATACATTGTGTAATACATTGCCACTTAAAATATGAGTTGTGTTTATTTGAAGATATTTTGAAGTGTAAGAATTATGCACTTGTAATTGACAGGATTGTAAAATTTGGGGGTTTTACTGTTTAAATCTTGTATTGTGTTTTTTGTCTTGCAAATTTAACTATTGTACCTCTCAGTGATCAGGTAGATGCCCCTGTGATTAAGTGTGTTAGCTTTATGTCACTCATGGAAGCTTAGACAATAATGTTCTTTTTGTAATAAAATTTATAACAAGTGTCATAGATGAAGCATTTTGCACGTTTGTACTGATATCGCATCTTTATTGGTTGTTCATATCCTGGTCTTCAAGATTCTGGAATTTAGATTCTCAACTGTATTTTGGTGTGTACAACTTTGGTAGAGTTTCAGAATTAGTTTTGTAGACAATGCCATAACAGTGGCAATGGCAACTTTGGTGCTGTAGGAGATAGATTTAAATAAAAAACCAGTTCATGGTTTAGTGCTCATTCTTTACTGTTTATGTAGTATAAATATGCAACAAGATTACCATCAAGTATCATACTTTTGCAAGTGTGGTATTATTATATGTAAAGTCCTAAAACCTGGGGATCATTCAGTGCAAATGCAATGTAGTATAAAGTAAAAAAAAAAAAGTGTACCTGTGATGTCAACCTTGCAAAAAGAAAAAACTAACCATATTACATTTCCTACAGTGCTCATCATTAAAGTAGGCTGGGTGGAAGGCACCAATTGTAATTTGATGTCCAGAGTAATATCTATCCTGGCAAATTTGTCAGCGAGACAATTCATACTGGCCTGGCAACTCGAAGTGGGATGTTTCAGGATTCCCTGTGGCTGCTGACTGCATCCTGGGCTTGTGTGATGGATGGTTTTACATCCATTATCCCCCTGCACCATGTGGCCTTGAGGGTAGAGTTTGTCAGGCATTTTTGGCTGTTGACAAATTAGTATGGGCAGGAATATGTTGCTGATACAAGAGACAATTGCAGAGATCATTGGATTACATAAAGCAGGCCATCAGAAAAAGGAAATAGTAAAAGCCAGTGATTGTTTGTCTAGTGAGGACTTGGTTGCATTGGTTCCTTGGGAATGGTGTTTGTGACATGCCCACACCAAAAAGCACATCCAGGGAAGCCTGGAAAAATGCCCCTACTAATGTTAGCTGTAATAATGTACCTAGAATCAGTCTATTATCATTTGCCCAAATCTTTCACTCAGTGGGGTGCAAGGTTTTTATGCAAAACAGTGTTCCTTACCACACCACAAAATCTGTTGTCCAGTGGCTTTGTGACAGAGGTACCTTCCTTCGATGATTAGCCAGGAACTCCCCATACTTTAACCCAATTGAGAGCCTGTGGGCCGAGTTAAACTGACTAAAAGGAAATCAGCCCACTCCCACGGCTCTAGGGCACCATCCATGAGTCATGGGGCAATTTACCCCCCCCAAGTCAAAGGATGTCCTCCTATTTTGTTATCAGGAGGGCCATGTGCTTTGATAATGAGCACTGTATATTCAACCTGTGTAAATTTTTTAGGTACTATTTAAATAAATATTTTTTGCCTTAAGTCTGTTTCAGTATGGACCTTGGCATTTGTATGTTTGTACCCCCACAACTATGATCACTTAAAAAGATGCAAATACTTGTGTTAATAAATAAATTTGGTAAAATTGTTACATTTGTGCAAGAGTAGGTGCGTGTAAATTATTATGATCAAGTTTACACCCATTCCTGTAAGTAACATACCTTTATACATGTAAGGAAGTGAATTGGTGCTGGTGTCTTTGTCCACTCTCAAGCAAAGGTTCATGCTTATGTATTTGGCAAAGGCAATAAAGGGTTTTCTGTAATTATTTCTTGGCATTCCTTACTAATGACTATTATTCTGTTGCCCTGAAATGGTTGCAGCCTTAAATTTCTAATATTGTACTGTACCATTTAAAAAAAATTGTAAAAGATTGTCATGTAGCATGCACTAATGTGCAAGGAAAAAAAAAACATTGCATCAGTGCACGACATGTAAAACTAGTTCTACTAGTTCCTTCAATTTTATGTAATTTTTCTTCAGTAAAAATAAATGTTTAAAAGTTTTACCCTAAATTCATTCTCCTAATACATAGCTTTGAAATACCTGATAATAATACGAAGTAATAACACAAAGTACTAGAGCAGTGAGGGTTCTTCAAGTATCTTGAGTGTGCACTGATGAAAATAACAGAGCAGTAATATATATATATATATATATATTATGTAACCAGAACGAGTGGATTATTCAAAACAAACACGCGACTACCAAGGATTCAAAACCAGTGTCATTTTGGCCCCCCTCATGGTGAGCGAAAATCACACTGCGTTCTAACCCACGGGACCACGCAATCCTACAAGAATGATGCACCCAGTGTTGTTATTGATTGATACCACTTGTTCGTGGTTACAATAATATATATATGCTGCTCATGAGGCTAGTACACCAAATGCGGAGTAGAATGAAATTAGCTCAAAGGCACCCACACCACTATGTCCTCGGATGATGGTAAAACACCTAGCTCTGCTGGGTGTGTCATTCTTGTAGGTTTGTGTGGTCCCGTGGGTTAGAGCGTCATGTGTGATTTTCGCTCACCATGAGGTGGGCCAAAACGACGGGTTTGAATCCTCTGCCAGTCGCAGTGTTGTTATTGATTAATACCACTCCTTCGTGGTTACAATAATGTATATGTATTATAAAGGTTTCAAGTTAATGGTGCAAGAATACTTGACAGAAAAATGACAAAGTGCTAACAGTATGGTCAGACACTGAATGCCCTACAAATTGGCATTATTAACCCTTTGAGGGTTTTCGTCGTACTAGTACGTCTTACGCGTAGGGGTTTTTGACGTACTAGTACTCATAAATTCTAGCGGCCTCAAATCTAGTGGGAGAAAGCTGGTAGGCCTTCATATGAAAGAATGGGTCTATGTGGTCAGTGTGCACAGTCTAAAAAAAATCCTGCAGCACACAGTGCATAATGAGAAAAAAAAAACTTTGACCATTTTTTTGGAATAAATCAGCGACTTTGCAGTGTATTTTCGTATGGTATTTATTGTTGTATTCAGTTTTCTTGGTCTCATTTTATAGAATGGAAGACAAAATTACAGAAATTGAGATGATTTTGACTGGTTTTACCAAAGAAAGGTGCCTTGAAATTGAGCTCAAGTAGGAGAAAATGTCGATTTTTACCAAACTTCAAAAGTAAACAAATCGTGCCAAGCGTGCAATACACGTCAACTGGTGAGTCTAATATTCTTTCACAAGTGCACCAATAATTTTATACCATTTTTACACTAATGCAGTAGTCTGCATAACAGTAAATCTTATATTTTTTGTGAAAATAAAAATTCAAAGTGGAAAGCAAAAGAATATAAGAGGGGCCTTGAGACATGACTAATGACTAGAGGAAATGTCATTTTAGTGCCAGGAATGTCTTTCTTGTTTATTCTGGACCCTATTCGGAAATTGGCATCTTTTGAAATTTGGGGTGAAATTGGCAAAATTGCTAAATTTCTGACCACTGTACTGGATAGTAGAATTTCATAAATGAGTGGTTTCTTGCACCCATTCGATAGAAAAAATGGAGTTCTATCGAAATATTCATGTTTTTTGTCGACTAGTACAGTGAAATTGGCCGAAAATGGGGCTCAAAGTGGGCAAAATCGCCGATGCGTAAACATCGCCGAGACCGCTAACTTTGCGAGAGCATAATTCCGTAAGTTTTCTATCAAATTTCAAACTTTTGGTGTCTTTGTGATCGGGAAAAGATTCTCTATCTTTTCATAAGAGAAAATAATTTTTTTTTTTTTTAAATTTGGCCGACCCTGAGAACGAGTTTCGGAGAGGGCCTGTCGACCCTCAAAGGGTTAAGTACACAAAACATAATGGAAAATCACAACTTACATAATACACCTGGGAAGTTAGGTGTTGAGTGTGTAAAATAAGTGTTGCTGTATTTCATGCCATGAGGAGGAAATGGATGTCACAGTGCCAGATGCAGGAGTTTAAGTTGTCAACTCTACAGGCATTTTCATGTTCCTGCAGTCATATTGGTAGATTTCTGGTAGATTTCCCAATGTAGACCCAGTCACATCTTCCACACTGTATACTGTAAATTCCAGCATCCTTTGGTTATATGTTAGTTGTGGGAGTCCTTGTGAAGTTCCTGATGGTCTTGGTGGTGATATCTGTGTTGGATTTTTTTTTTTTAGGATGGAGGAAACTTTGTTGGTGGTGGCCTCAGTGGATATGATTTACTGAGATAGCAGCCCTGTTATGTATTAACCCTTTGACTGTCGCAAGCCCATTTCTGAAACTCATTCTATGTCGCAGAATTTTTTGAAAAAAAAAAATTCTTATGAAATGATAGAGAATCTTTTCCCAATGGTAATGACACTAAAAGTACGAAATTTTATCGAAAACTTACGGAATTACACTCCCGCGAAGTTAGCGATCTCGACGATATATATGCATCAGCGATTTCGCTGACTTTGAGCCCTATTTTCAGCCAATTCCGTATCCTCTGTTCATTAGTCACGTCTCCAGGCCCCTCTTATATTACTCTTGCTTTCTATTTTGATTTTTTTATTCACACAAAAAATAGAAGATTTACTGTTATGCAGACTACTGCACTATTGTAAAAATGGTATAAATAATATCAGTGCACTAGTGAAAGAATATTAGACTCCCCAGTTGACGTGTATTGGACATGTGGTGTGATCTGTTTACTCTTGAACATCGGTAAAAATCGAACATTTCCGCTACTTTGAGCTCAATTTCAAGGTTGTTTTCATTGTGAAACTACTCAAAATCATCTCTATTTCTGTAACATGTTTTCCATTCTATCAAATGAGACCAAGAAAACGAGAATACAACCATAAATATTATACGAAAATACACCTCGAAGTCAGCGTTTTAATCCAAAAACATCATGCACTGTGTGCTGCAGGATTTTTTTTTATACAGTGCACACTGACCACACAGACCCATTCTCTCACATGTGGGCCTACCAGCTTTCTCCTGCTTGATTTGAAGCTGCTAGAATTATTGAGTATATTATTATTATTATTATTATAATCAAGGGGGAAGCGCTAAACCTGGAGGATTATACAGCGCCTGCGGGGGGGGGGGGGATGTGGAAGGCATTCAGGCTTAATTCGGGGAACTGGAGCACAGATCCAATTCCCTAAATCAAGAGCCCCTCACCAACATCAAGGAACCTTCCTTGAGGGGATTATTGAGTATAGCATATACGTTTGAAACACTGGCTCGTAAGACTGTATATACGGCCAAAACAGTCAAAGGGTTAATTAGGCTTTCCACTTACAGTGAAACATTAGATAGTGAGGCTATTTCAAGCTGAGAAATATATTCTCTTTGTAATCTTCTCGTGAAGTACTCTCCCCATATAAATTCCAGTGTAAGCAGAAGGATGACATAATACACAACCGGGCTCCTACCCTGGACAAAATACAGGTACATCATGCCCACCATGACTATGCTAACACTGTTTCCTCCAGCCCACAAAAATCCGACATGGATCTCAGAAAAACTCCCACAAGTAACATGGAATTGAAGGATGCCGGAGTTTACAGTATATCGTGTGGTAGGCATGACTGGATCTACATCTGGGAAGCTGCCAGAAGCCTCTCAACATGATTGCAGAATATAAAAATGCCTGTAGGATTGATAACAACGTAAGGGGCTTGAAGACTTTTCCCCTGCTTGATATGACTATTGAATATCACATTCTCAAGCCTACTGTAAAGAAGGTAATTTAAATGTGCAAATTGGATTAATATTTTTACACATTACACTCATCTTCCTTCCCACTAAATTCCTCCTTCCATGATGAGTTACAGTCAGCTATCTTATAAGCTCCTTCATATAGTGCAATTTTCCATGTGATTGAAAAAGCCCATCAAAAATTAAATAGCATGTACTGTGAAGACGTTTCCATGGACATTTCAATTTTGGATGTATTTTTTCGAATGAATTTACTAAAAATTGCACTATATAAAGGAGCCTATAAGGTGACTATTACATTGGTTACATCTCTTTCAATTTGCTAGTCACTATTCCATGAACCTCAGGCAAGCATTTTTATAAATGCATACTCTAGTGGTTGCCAGACTGTGCTAGAGCCATCAGAATCAAAATGCCATGTGGGGGTCAGTATTTATATAATCGTACTAATGCCTGCTATTTAGATTTCAAATAATCAAGAGCACATGCCCACTATGATGAAAGCAACCAAGTATGCTTGTTGGCATGTTTATATTTTAACTTCAGATGTCACCATGAGTACGGTATCTAAAAAGTGCAAAAATTGGCAGGCAAGTACTCACCTGCAGCAGCTCCAGTCCTCAACATTGGTAGTGTAGAATTAATGGATCCAGTTGAAGTTGCAAATGCAATAAGATACCACTTTGTCTGGGTCTCCCGTGGGCCATACCTGTCTCTTTACTTTCTTCACTGTATCCCTCCGGGAATCTTCTGCTTTAGACTTCACTTCTTGCATAGATGAACCATATAATGCTTCATGTACCACTCTTGAATTTACATTCATGTTGTCAGTCAACCAAAGTAGCTGGGCCTGCTCATATACAGGAAGGCCCCACTTATACGGCGGGTTAGGTTCCAGGCTACCGCCGTAAAGCGGAAATCGCCGTAAAGTGGAACACCCTTTTTTTCCATTTATAAATGCATACAAACACTAGATAACAAGTTTACACTAACATATATTAAGTTAGCAATAGAACCAGGCATCAAAAAACAATAAAAAGGTACAATACACACATAGTGCACTCATTACTTACCTTAAAATATTTATAGTCTTAATCTAGGGTGAGACAAGTAGTATTTATTGTAAGAAATCAAAGTGTGGTATGTATTGTAATAGCCAGGTTATCTTACCAGGCCACCCACCACACATACTGTTCTATGATATTTAAGCATCCCAGAGCGATAAAATGTATATACAGTTCACTCATTACTTACCTTAAATATTTGTAGTCTTAATGTGGGTCAGGAGTAAGTAAATGAGATAAAATCGAATAAATGAGA